CCCACAATGAAACATAGTCTCATCACTTTAATCCCAAAACCCAACAAAGACAAATTACTGCTGGATAATTGGAGACCTATAACTCTTCTGTGCAATGATTATAAATTACTGGCTCGTGTTTATGCAAACCGGTTAAATGAATGTTTATCTCTTATAGTGGATGAGTATCAGTCAACTTTTACAAAAGGTAGAAATATACATAACAATATTCGATTTATTCTTGACGTGCTTGATTATCGTGAGCTAATTAAGACTGAAAGCTTGATTCTATTTCTAGATTTTTATAAAACTTTTGATACAGTGGAACATCCTTTTTTGCCTAAAACCTTACATCACTTAGGCTTTGGGAAAAACTTCTGCAAAGTAATCGAAATGTTTTACACCTGTCTCCCTTAATCCTGGAATGACCAACAGGTTTGAAGTGAAGCGAGGTGTTCGACAGGGATGCCCAATCTCCCCAAAATTATTCATATTGACCACTCATTCACTGGCCCTAATGATCCTAAATGACTCCAACTTATAATGCATAACTATCTTTGATAAGGAGTTCAAAATCAGCCAATTTGCAGATGATACACTCCTGTTTTTAAAGGATAAATCTATGACAGCCAAAACTTTTAATACTATCGCTTTTTGTCCCAAGCTTCAGGACTATGTCTGAATATTGATAAATGTGAAATATTACCTATTCACCCATGTTCTGATTCTATTATAGCTTCAGTAAGAGTAAAATCAGAAGTGAAATATTTAGGAATAGCTACTGTATCTCCAAGAACATGATCCAAAGAGAAGACTCTAACATTTCTGATTGTATCCCGAACATGAAAACATCTCTTAGTCGTTGGCAAACCAGAGACTTAACCATATGTGGTAGAGTTATTCTCTCCAAAGCTGAAGGTCTTTCTAAATTAATTTACCCATGCCATTCTCTGTATATTTCTCCTCAAAACATCAAGAAAGCCAACTCTATAATATTTCAGTTCCTGCGGAAAAATAAAACCCGTTATATTAAAAGATCTCAACTTGTTGGTGATTATACTAAAGGTGGTGTTAAAGCCCTGGATTTTGTTTCACTTGTAGGATAAACTGGCTTAAAGCTTGTTTAACACAATCTAATTCCATGTGGTTTCATATACCCAGATCTCTATTTTAACAACTAGGAGGAATTGAATTTGTATTAAAATGTGACTTTGAAATGAGTAAACTTCCTATAAAATTAGCTAGTTTCCAAAAACATGTTCTTTCCTTCTGGAAGATGATGTTTACCTATAACTTTTCTCCCCATATGTCAACCTTATGGAACAATAGAGTGATAACTGTTAACAGAAAGTCGATATTTAAAAGAAATTTGTTTGAGTGTGGTATTTTGTTTGTATTTGAACTGTTAGACTCAGATGGCAATTTGCTAGATTTTATGTCCTTCTTAAAGAAATATAATTTAAATTGTACACAAAAAGAATACCGGCAAGTCGGTAAGGCCATTCCACTGGCTTTAAGACATATATTATATATATATAGTATATATATTAAATATATACACTACCTAATCTAAAAATAGAAAATGCTCATTTATTAGATAGTGAGCTTGATAATAAGACTATTAATGCTAAATTTAAATCTATTCTTTTTCATGATTATAATTCAGGAAGGTATTTAAAAGTTTTTAATGGGGATCAGTCTTACATGGCTTTCTCCAAATTTGTGAAGTGGCCTGTCTCTCCAAAAATCAAAGAAACACATTTCAAAATAATTCATAACACTTACCCGGTGGCAGAATTTCTAAGGAGAAGATTCAAATTTGAGGTAGACATGTGTTCTTTCTGTAACTCAGTGTGTGAAACAACACAGCATCTGTTTTTTTCATGTCCTGTATCAGCAAATTTCTGGTCGCAGATAAACAGTTGGTTATCACTAAAAGTCAGTAATGTCCCACTTTTTGAATTATCACATATCTTGTTTTATAAGGACAACCTTCAATCTTCTCTATCTGACATGATCAACATTGTTATTCTTCTGGGGAAATATCATATACATTGTAGTAAGTGGAGGAATTTATTACCATCATTCACAAGGTTTATCATTGACTTTAAACAATACTTTATTTTTCTCAAGAGGAAGAAATCTAACATATCTGTGAAGACATTTCCAGGTTTTTACTTTTTTGATTTGTTCCTTGTGTAGTCTACGCTCTCATGATGGTACTCTGTCTTTTAGGATTGTGTAATTTATGTAACGCCCCTTCTTCTTTTAACATTTTTTTTTTTTTTTGTAGGTTTTTTTTTTGTCTGGTTGTTGATATACTGTATATCCTCTACGAGAGTTTTGTATTATGTAATTTGTTAATAAAGTAAAAAAAAAGCAGCTGTCAGACTCGATCACAGGTGAAAAACATTGACTTTAAACACATCAATGAAGGCTATAAGACAGATTTGGGTTGGCAGGCCGCAGACTCGTGAAGTCTTTCGGAAGAAAGACGAAAAGATTCTCACAAAATGAATGAAACTGTCCAGATGACCTGATTTAACCTTTTTTTTGTGAGTGAAAAAATTAGGCTTCAAATACGGAAATTACGGTACGTCATTGATCACATGACGTTGTTGTTTACCCTGTTGTATCAACCAGGCTTGCTCCTTCTTTGAGCCCGCCCCTTTGCCTCAAACTGATTGGTCAGTTTGCCACATCTCGGTCTATTATTGGATATTGCTTAGCCGGTCGCGTCACTTCTAGCAAGTTTGTGTGCTTGGCTTTAAGGCAAAGAGTTGCTCATTATGGGCTCATCTAAAAAAGTATGTCCTAGTTATTAATATTTTGTTCGTCTTACTCTAATTAACATTTATAAACCTGATACATCATCAAAGTTATTGTATTCTGCTAATGTCACGGTTATTTGAAAGTTTACTTAAGTTAATAATTTGTCAAATCCAACGAGTGATACGTCTGCAGAAACAGAAAGTACTTTTTAATAGTTTAAATAGTTAACTCGGGTTTATTTCACGGTTTTCTTTGCTAGTAAAGTTGTAATAACGCTGAAAAAGCTGATGACGAAGTTTTAAAACTTCAGTTTTCGTTTGAAGTGTTGTATAAATCCGACTCACTTTAACTTAATAACTTTTTAATTAAACAGATCCGAGGTGGAAACAGGTTAGTTGTGTAATATTTACGTTCTTATTACATGTTAGCTAAGTTGACTTAAAATGTTAATAACAATTGTAGACATGTAGTTTTATAAAGTGCTTCTTTTTCAGAGGAATGCTGCTGTGATCTGCGAGGGAGTTGTACCAGGACAAACTATTTTAATGGGTAAGTACATCTTGAATTATTTTTTTGCTCCAGAACTATGGTACAAAAAAAATGACTTAAATGCAAGATGATTTTATTTGGTATTGGTTCTTGTTCATCCTGTTTATAGTCACAAACAGGGTCATAGAACAAGATAATTGTCTCAAAACACACACAAAAAAACCCATCCCTATTATTATGATAAGTATGGTCCTCTTTTTACTCTCCTTGACTATATGGCCTTTATCAAACTTTTAACTTTTAAAAATTGTAATTGGAGCAGCACGGTGGTGCAGCTGGTAGAACGGTCGCCTCACAGTGAGCAGGTCGTCCGGTTCAAATCACAGCTGGGGGCCTTTCTGGGTGGAGTGTGCATGGTCTCTCCGTACATGCGTGGGTTTTCTCCAGGTACTTCAGTTTCATCCCACAGACCAACAACATGCATGTTAGGCTGATTGGTAACTAAATTGTCCCTAGGTGTGAGTGAAAGAGTGATGGGTTGGTTGTCTCATTTGTCTCTATGTGTCCCTGTGATGGACTGGAGACTTGTCCAGGGTGTCCGCTGTCTCTCGCACAGTGATGGCTGGATGGCTGGCTTGACTCCCATCACCCCCTGGAGCACAAGTTAGGAGTCATCAGAACTCTGTATCACAGAGCAGACAGCATCCCCACTAACTCAGGAGCCAGGCAGAAGGAGAAATCCCACACAAGACAGGCTCTAGAGCAATGTGGATATCCTAACTGGGCCTTCCTGAAAGCAGAGAAGAAACCCAAACAGGACTCCAGTCAGCCATCAGGTGAAAAGGAGGAACCCAGACCAGTGGTCATTCCATATGTTGAGGTAGTATCAGAGAAACTGAGACGTTTATTTTCTAAACACAACGTCCCAGTGGCTTTTAAACCCCAAAATACATTACGGCAAAGACTGGTTCATCCCAAAGATCCAGTCCCCCGGCACAAACAGAGTAATATTGTGTATGCTGTTCAGTGTCAGAGCTGTGATCAGTCTTACATCGGGGAAACAAAACAGCCACTGGCCAAAAGGATGGCCCAGCACAGAAGATCAACATCATCAGGCCAGGATTCTGCGGTCCACACTCATCTCCAGGCCAGCGGTCACTCTTTCAGGGATGAAGATGTTCACATCCTGGACAGAGAGGAACGATGGTTTGAGAGAGGAGTAAAGGAGGCCATCTTTGTGAAAAGAAATCGTCCATCATTAAACAGGGGTGGAGGCCTCCGTGTTCAACTGTCCCCCTCTTACAATGCTGTGATTGCTAGTATCACTCAGCCTCCTGTGAACAGTAAACAGCCATCAGGGTGCTAATGATCTGTTGTTAGGCTGATGGTCCTTCTTGATCATGTGAGCAGCTGTTTTTTTTTTTTCTGTCACCAGCAAACTGGTTGATCCACTCGGAGACGGTTTTCTTTATAAGACTGAGTTTGTTGCAGCTCCTCTGAATAAATATTTTGGATGAAAGACGAAACGTTTCAACAAAAGAAGAACCCGTCCAGAGGACCTGACTCAACCTTGTTAGACCTAATAGGTGTTTTCTGCTCAGGATGGAGCAAAGTGCACATCTTCACACCACTAATTGATGCGTAACACGTTTGGTCGTCTGGTTGCTGTTTCTGTGGACATGAGAGAATGTGTTGGGAGCGCTTGTGACTAAATTTTGTTTTGAACTGATTTGAATTCTCTGATTGAGCAGACTGGATGTGACCCTGTGACTCCTGGTTGTCACGGAGCAAGAGGAAGGGTCATGGCTGCTGCGGGTATGTCCGGGGAGAGCCAACTCCAGAGGATTATCAGAGATCTACATGGTACGTCAACTTTACCTCAGGGCATGTCTGTTTGTGTGTGAATAGAGTGTCGTTGACCAAGAGAAACAAAAGGATGAAGAATTATAGATGAGATTTTATGGCTGTTATCTAAGTCTAATCTTTAGTCATGGAACTACCGGACCTCTTCGTGTCATTAGATAGTTTGAGAAAGCGATCATCTCAGAGCATGTTTGTGTAGTGAGGGTGTGGTGGAAGCCTCTGTACACATGCAGTTAGACAGAGAGCATGTGCTGAGCGTGTACCCATCACGCGTTTTTCCCGTGTTTGTGATGCATAAGAAACAAGTTTTAAGTTTTAAGTAAGCGTTCTAGCTGTCACTCCTCTTTCTTCTTTCTGAACTGCGTGTTTTTACATTTCAGAGGCGGTTGCAGAGCTTTCAAAGGAGTACAAGGAAAGTGGCGAGCCAGTCACAGATGACAGCACAAATTTGCACAAATTCTCCTACAAACTGGAGTATCTGCTTCAGGTGGGATTTTACTTTCATAATTACACCAACAAAAAATAAATATAAACATGCCAGTAAACATTTAAATCACTTAAAATGATTGAGAAGTCGGGCAGCACGGTGGCGCAACTGGTAGAGCTGCTGCCTCTCAGTGAGCAGGTCCTTGGTTCAAACCCCGGTCCAGGGGCCTTTCTGGGTGGAGTTTGCATGTTCTCTCCGTGCATGCGTGGGTTTTCTCCGGGTACTCCGGTTTCCTCCCACAGACCAAAAACATGCATGTTAGGCTGATTGGTAACTCTAAATTGTCCCTAGGTGTGAGAGAGAGCATGAATGGTTGTTTGTCTCTATGTGGCCCTGTGATGGACTTGCGACCCGTCCAGGGTGTACCCCGCCCCTCGCACAGTGATTGCTGGACATGGGCACCGGCAAACCCCGTGACCCAAAATGGAATAAGCGGGTAAAGAAAATGGATGGATGGATGGATGGATTGAGAAGTCATTAAATGGTAGTACCATCTATTCTAACATATTTGGCAAATCAGTTGAATGCGAATAACCTTCTTAAAGAATAATCAACATATAATTTGTTTGTCTTTTAATCCTTGTGATGACGTAAGACATACATTTACTCTTCAAGCATGTTTTTCTTTCAGTTTGACCAGAAGGAGAAAACAACATTTTTAGGTACCAGGAAGGACTACTGGGATTATTTCAGTGACTGTCTGGCTAAGATCAAGGGAGCCAACGATGGAATCCGTTTTGTCAAATCCATTGCTGAGGTGTGTTTTTGTTTCGTATTTTATATTTTTTAAGACTTATATTATTAAGTAAGACCTTAAATGATGGGAAAATTAATAGGTTTATTTTACCGTACTATTTTTTATGCTGACATATTGATGCTTCAAATAGAACAGCAAACAGTCATAACATTTATGAAAGCTTAAAAAGCGTCCACGTGGCTGCAGCTTCCTTTACTCTCTCTTGGTTTTTCTTCTATTTACTGTATGTAAAAAGCAAAAATAAACTTTTGCTTTTTGGATTAGCGGATTAAACATCTTATTAAAAAGATGAACTGTGGTGACAAAATGCATCTTGTTAACCTGAAGTGTGCGTAAGCAGCATTTGTCTGAAACCATTTGCTTCTCTAGCTGAAGACATCTCTGGGGAAGGGACGAGCGTTTATCCGGTACTCCCTCGTTCATCAACGGTTGGCGGACACGCTGCAGCAGTGCCTGATGAACCACAGAGTCACCAGGTGAGGCAGCATGAGCCAAGTAAAGATTTATTGTAAAAATGTTACTTTTAAATACAGGGACACAGATGTGTGGCAGATGTTTCCAGAAAATTAAAGACCTGAAAAGCAAGGCCTGATTGAACCCGGTGCTCAGTTAGGATCTTACAACAAGGACAAGTGTCTCAGCCTCCATCCGGCATATTTAGGATTAAAGTTATATAATGAATTTAAAGACCAAGTCTTAAACATACCTTAAAACTTAAGATTAGAATAGTGAAGTCAGTAATAAAATGTACAGGTGAATCTAAACGTTGGGATTATTTGGGGATTTTTGCAAAAGGAATTGAATAAAGTAATAATCCAGGCTGAGAAGAAACGTGTTAATATTTATCGCTGGTCATCAGAACTTCAGATTGAGCTGTGTTGGAGAAAGTTACAGTTACAAAAGGGGGCCAAAATTAAAAACTTGGTCCAAGCCAAGGGCCAATTTCAGTCGATACATTAACTCCAGTCAGATAGCTGACATGTTTTCTTGATTACAGGTTCATCAAAAAGAGTTTAATTGGTCATATTTGATGTTCTGTGTTGTTCTTTCCACATTAAAATGAAAGATCTCTGAAAAAATCCAACCTTTTTTCTGGCTTCAGAGTTAAACTGTCCTGAGAGGTTTGCACTAAATGAAGTATTTAGTAGTTGTTTTTAAGCAAAGTGAGAAACGATAAAAAATATTTTACATTTAAAATATCTTAGAGGGCCAGATATGATGTTAATGAGGGCCCAATTTGGCCCACGGGCCTTGACTTTGACACATTGTGCTTTAGACAAAAGGACATTTCCTGAAGTTGCTCGGTTTATGTACAATGACAAATGGAGTCGTAATTTACTTTTTTAGTGTTCTAAATTATTTATTTCATCCCTTTGCTATATTGTCAAATGAGTCTACTACGTCTCTAAGAAGTGGTGCAACAAAAGGAAATGTTTAATTATGAGGAAGTATTGTACTTTTAATAATTTACCAGTCAACTTAGCGTGTGCGATATTGTAGGAAAACCTGTTGCATGTGTACTAATGTGTAAAAACTAGTGTTTCAAATAAAAGTCCACACCTAAAATTCATCTTCAAAATATAAAATATCATAGTTCCAAAATCTGTTCTTAAATATTGTTGGACCGTGTGTTATGTTTTTATTGTCAGCATCACAGTCCGGATCTGCTCTGTAGGATTGAGTAATGGATTATCCTCTAAACATTGATATTTTAACAAGTTAAAATAGATTTGCAAAGAGAAATTAGGATGTTAAACAAGATCCAACACCATGTGAGGGAAGTTTAAGGATCTTGATGTGTCTCCAAATACTTTTTGCATTGTTTATTAATTGTTTTAGTAAATAGCATTAACCTCCACGGTTTACTTTTTATACAGGCTTTGCCTTCTTGGACACACCAAGAACAGAACTCATTAAGAGAACAAGAACTCATGACTTACGTCATGAGCTCACTTCAGTTGCTGCAATAAGAGAAATGCAGAGGCACAGAGATTTGTACAAAATTCTGTTTAACACAGTTTTATTTGAAAAACAAGTCACAGCAGAAGCAAAGACATATCTGAACAAATGACAATAAGTTTAACTAGTTTTGTTACTTAATTCTACTCAATGCCACAGTCTAATAAATTAGGATTTTATTTTATTCCATTGCATTCTGTCATAAGAATGGAATACCCAGGATGAACGGACTGATGATGAACAACTCAGACACACTAGAGTCGATTCAACACTTTTATTTACAGTGAGTAATAACTCAGGATCAAACAGGAACCCTGGGGAGCAAGGAGATGGTTCAGGTCCAGAGTTCAGGAAAGGGGTTTTACTCAGAATGTGCAGGTTCCTTACTGGTAGATGGCTGGAATATGCTGGGTTCCAGAATCCTTTACAAACATGAGAAGATCCAGAGAGCAGGAGGGCGAGGTGAGCAGCTGAACGTACACAGGTAAGGTTTCCAGGAGTTCACGAGGAGGTTCAAGTCCTCATGTTGGTCTCAGGTGGTTCACTGGAAAGATCATAAGAGAAAGGTAAGTATTCACAAGGCTTAGAGATACACAAAGGGCTAAGAGCACGAACCATATGCAGGGTAATGCTCCAGCGTCAAAGGAGAGTCATCAACTGCCTTATACATATCGGCCTTGGAGCCTCATCAGGAACACATTGTCTGCAGGTGTGTGAGTATGGCGCCATCTGGTGACCAAACATGGGAACTCCCACACATTCAAAGTAACTTCACTTGCAATTCATTTACAGTAAGCAGTAGTGATGACAGCCAGCACATTCATACAACTTTAAACATGACAAAATTTATAAAAACAGGGTAAAAATGTACATTTGAAACAAGATTAAAATGTTAAAATAACATAGGGAATCTCAAATAAAATCCTAATTGAATATGGCAAACCACCTGAAGGAGTGACCTGATCACTAACCAGTTTGCTTAATTTCCACATTACTGTTGTTGCATCCCTGGGATCCCTCAGAATGCTCATGATTATTGTTTCTAGTCGTGTTTTACTCTGATTTTTCCTTGTGCGTTTTTCATTCAGTGACTGGTACTATGCAAGAAGTCCTTTGTTGAAACCCCACCTTGGTGCTGACATAATCGATCACCTGTATGAGCTGAACGAGGTCCAGTTCGATGTGGCTTCCAGAGGTCATGATCTTGATGCTTCCTGGCCAACTTTTGCAAGGTAATCAAGTGGGATAGTTTAAGAGAATAAAAGCATAGAAAAACATTTGACAATGCAGTTTAAAAATAAAGACAATATAAAAGTTTTTCCTTCTACTTGTGGGATGTTCATTAAGGCCGTTTCACATCTACCATCAAGGCTTCATGCTTCCTCTGAGTGACATCAATTGTTTTTGAATTCAGATCAAAATGTGGTTTGCTATCAAAAGTTAAAATGTGTAGCAAATTTATATATATATATATATATATATGTGTGTGTGTATATATATATATATATATATATATATATATATATATATATATATTTTATTTTTTTATTTTTATTTTTTTTATTATAGTGCTATTTGACTGAAGCTGCCATCAAACAGACCAACCACAGAACTTACTAAACAGAGTTGTGTTTGCAGTTAAAAAAACTTCTGTTCTGGTCAACAGGAGGACTCTGGGAAATGTAAACTCACCTGGTCACATGTGGAAACCACCCAGTCGTAGTTCCAGTATTAACAGTCTGGCTAGTACATACTCCCAGGTATTTGATACTTGTATCTAATAGCATTTTTTGATACCTTTTCATGATATTCATTACTCCCTTTCTGTCTTTAACTTTCATTATAACCATCTAGCAAGCACCTGAGTTCCCCTCCAGCCCTGACTATGGGCACAGTTCATTAAATGATCCAAATGAGTCTCTGCCTGTCTGCATGGAGGATATCAGCGCAATCGAAGACCTTCGTCTGGAGCTGGATCAGTCCGAGCTGAAGCAGCAAGATCTCTTTGGTAAGGTTCAGCTGCTAAGTGAGGACAATGCTGCACTCACAGCAATAAATGAGAAGCTCCAGAGTCAGCTTGAAGGGTCACTTGCTGCCCAGGAGAGGCTCCAGTCCTCTCAGGAGATACTCAAGGGAAGAGAGGAAGCTCTGTCTAGAGAGGTGGAAGCTCACAGGACTGAGATAAAAGCCAAGGAGGGTCAGCATGCCTTACTTCAGGAAAAGCTGGAAGCTGCTGAGCAAAAGAACTTGGAGCTCATAGCAAAGTTAGATGGGTTTCTGAATGAGAAGGGCCAGCAGGCAGCCAGTTACTTTGATTCAGCACAGAAGATTCACGAGCTGCTGGACAAATTGAAAGAGGCAGAAAAGGGAAAGATGGAGGCTGTAGTTGAAACGGCAGAATTGAAGAGGCGAGCCGAAAAGCTAGAAGAAGAGCTAAAGGTGAAGGAGGCTGCGTCGAAGGATCAAAAAGCAAAACTTACATCTGTGTCAGAGGAGAAGGCCAAGTTGGAGGCGAGAGCAGCAGACCAGTCCACTACACTCGAAAAGCTTCAGGGTGACCTGACTTTGAGAGAAAAAGAGGCAAGCAACCTACAAAAGCAGCTGCAGAACCTCCAAAGATCTCTAGAGGGTAAAGATGAAGAATTGGACACGGTGAAGAAGCGAGCGCAGCAAGATTTAGATGAACAACAGGCCAGTTCTGATGGCTTCAAAGAGTCTTTAGAGGTGAAAGTTGCTGCAGTTACAGACGAGCTAAAGAGAAAAGAGGCAGAGCTGTGCTCCAGCTGTGAGACACTACAGAAACTAGAAGCCAAGAACCAAAGTCTGACCACACAGAGAGATGAACTGACCACTAGCCTTGCTGAGCGTGACGAGAAGATCAAAGAACAGGCGGAAAAAATAGAAGAGTACGAGACGCAGCGTGCCAATCTACTGGAATCAAACAAGAAGCTGCTGAGCACAGTGACTAAAAAAGAGGAGCTGCACAATGAACTGACAGAGACCAGAGCAGCGCTTGAGGCTGAACTGGTTTCTCTGAGGGTTTCTGAGAAACAACTTAGAGGTCAGATGGACAACTCCAAGATCTCAGTGGATGAGAAGGAGAAGGCGCTTCGTGAGGAGAACTGCAGGCTGGACGAGAGTCTGCAGCGAGCCACAATGGCTGCAAAGATGTCCGAGACAGCGTTAAAGCGTCTGGAGCAGGAGAATCGGAGTCTGCAAGACGAGCAGGACAAATTAAATTCAACCGTTAGTCGTGTGCAAGCAGATCTGAAGAATGTTCACCAAAAGAACGAGGAACTGCAGAGCAACATAAAGGCTTTAGACAAGAAAGAAGTCGCTCTTCAAAAAGAGCTTGACGCTAAAAATGAACGGTTAGAGGGTAAAGAGGAGGATCTTGTCAGGTTGCTGTCCACGGTCAAAGATCTAGAGGCTAAGAACAAGGAGCTTGAGATCGTCAAAGCTACTGCAGAAGCAACTTGTGCGAGGCAGACAGAGGTGATAGAAAGAGTCACAGCTGAGAAACAGGCAGTGGAGAGTTCACAACTACAGAAGAGGGCAGCTCACGTCAAGGAGAACCAGGAGGTCACTGCCAAACTTACTATGGTTGAAAGCCAGTTGGAGGTTCACGTGAAGGAGGTGTCCAGACTTCAGGCAGAGCTCCTGGACCTAAAGGTGCAGGTGCAGAGATCAGAGGAGGAAAAGCACAAATCTCAAGCCCTGCTGGTGGTCACAGAGGCCCAAAGAGATGAGCTGCGGTCTCTTACGGAGAAGCTGAAATCCCAAACGGAGGCGCTGAATCAGACGCACGTAGCAGAGCTCATGGAGTGTAAAAAAAAAGAAGAGGCCTTTGTTGAACAGCGTGATCGAGAAGTAGCAGCCCGTTCAGAGCTGGCCGTTTCTCTGACTGCCATCCAAGAAGAGCTGCTTAAAGTCAAAGCAGAAAATAACAGACTGGCTTTAGAGAACAATGAGATCCGCGAGAGTCTGCACAGAGCCAACACTGAGATGGCAGAGCTGGGGATGACCGTGTGCAAGCTGAATGCAGAAAAGGAAGAGGCCAGCGAGCACTGGGCAGGTAGAGCTTCTGAGATAGAAGAGCTGAGGAACAACGTGGAGCAACTGGAGGAGTGCAAGGAGAAACTGCAGCTGGAGAATCACCGTCTACAAGAGGAGCTAAGACAAAACGAGTCCCTCGCAGAGACGAACACGGAGCTCCAGGAACAGCTGGAAAAGACCAAGAAGCAGATGCAAAGTGTCAAGGACTCCTGCCGAGAGGAGATAGATGCTGTCAAGTTCCAAATCAGCTCGGAGACCATGAATCATCAGGTCAGCCTGAAGGTGAGTTCAACAGAATCAGACCACACGACTCTGGTTGGTTTGTCCAACATTTGACTTAATGTCAACATCTTCTTCCCATCATCTTCAGATGTGCTTTCAAATAATTACATTTGCATTGTGACCATAATAACATGCGTATTAGACCTGCTGTTCATGCTGCGTTCTACTAATACGGGCGAATAAAACATTTTGGGTTGTTCATTTTATGCTGCTAGGGGAGTGGTGGTGCAGAGGTTAGAGAAGGTGGGCCTGTGACCGGATGATCGCCGGTTCATCTTCCGGTACCGACAACATCAAAAACATGGGTGGGATAGGTGAAGCACCCACACCTGCCTCCACCCTCATTTGCCCCACTCTTGTCCCTTGAGCAAGGCCCTTAACCCCCACCATCTGCTCCTCCGGACGCCCTAGATAGCAGCTCTCCGCTCAGTGGTCTGTGGTTGTGTCAGGAAGTCAAGCCCAGTTTATTTATAGAGCACATTTAAAATAGAAACTGTTATCAAAGTCAATGGGAGTAAAATTAATGAAAAAATAAACACCACACACTAATGATAGTACTGAAGAATTAATAAAAAGCATTTAAAACATAGGAACACAGAATAAAAAAAAAAAACACTAAATCAACTCGTGCAGTCTTGTTTTAGGAACAGCCAAAAGCAGCTGACCGGATGATCTCAGGGCCCGAGAGGGAACGTAAGGTTCCAGTAGCTCAGAGAGGTAAAGGAGCGCGAGGCCATTTAGGCACTTGGAGGTCAACAGAAAAATTTTAAAGACTATCCTAGTACGCACAGGGAGCCAGTGAAGGGAGGACAGAACTGGTGTAATATGTTCAGACCTACGAGTTCCAGTCTCCAGGAAGAGCATCTGGCGTAAAAATATCGCCAAGTCTTCGTGCGACTCAGTTCGCTGTCACGACCCCTGAAGAAGGGAGCAGCCGAAAGAAGAAAAATGATGCTCCTAGTTTAAATCAGTGAAATGATGCCTTGAATCATTGCTTTTTCATCATATGTAACAGGTTGCCTTGAGCGAGTTGTTGAGCCAAATATAAAAAAATTAGGTTGTTTGTTAGAAGATGGTGATAATAAATTATAGTGGACAAAACAAGTGTTTAAGTCTAAGTGCTGTCATCATTGTATGTTCACATACAATGATGAAATTAGTTCTTCCTTTAACCCATCACACCTGGGATACACCAGGTGGAGCAGTGGGCAGCTATTGAGTGCCAGGGGAGCAATTAGGGATTAGGTATCTTGCTCAGTGATTGGCTGGGAGTCGAACCGCAACTTTCTGGTCCCAAGCCGGCTGTCCTACCTCTGACCCATCTCGGTCCCCATCATGTTTGATTGGCGTTTGATCACTGTCTGTCGTATCAATTAATAATTATAACATTAATCATCTTTTTTTATTAGATTTATCTCATTGTCTTCTCTTATATTGCAGAGTTTGAATGAACAGCTTAAGAAGTGTAAAGTTCAGGCGCAGGAGGATCAGATGAACGTATCCAGCCTGCAGGCCAGAGTATCTGAACTAGAGGTTTGTATGTTTGAACAAGTAAACATGCATTCATTCAGGGTTTTACGCCAACTGCTGTGTGCTGTAGAGTAGTAACAAAAATCAATGCGTTAAATTAGAAAAAACTTAATTCTCCCGCACAAGAAACGTTCTACTATACACAATAGACATAGATGTGAAGTAGAAAAAGGAAAAGTTGATGTAAAACTCTTTTCAAGCCTAAGAAATAAAATCTACACAGCACAGAATTTAGTATTTTCATTTTATGTTCAGTAAGAACAGAAGAAATATAGGACAGTGGACTGAATATTATATATTTTTTTCTTTCTATTTATTTAAATATTTATATCACTGAGAATGTGGTCCCCTGATTACAATTTTTTTTTAAATATATATATATATTCCTTTGATTACAAAATGTAGAAGAGTAGCAGAACTTGTTTTTCCAAAGGAAACTCTTCAGAGTTTTTTGATTGATGTTTCCACTACTGCTGCAAAAATCAGACAACTTTTCTGGAACATTGATTTCAAATGTGAATTGTTTTCAGCATAATTATCAGCCTTCATAAATAGACCATAGAACATGATTATAAATAGATGAAACAATAAGTACTCATGATATCCTTCTTTTTTTTATCGTTTAAAAAGGCTGAGAACGAGGAGTATTTACAGCTCGTTGGTGAGAAAGACGCTCGCATCACGACGGCCGAAGACACAATTCGTGAGAACGAAAGCGAAATACAGCAACTGAGGAACACGGCCACCAGGTGCTGTCACCACCACAAATAATTCTGCACGTTTGTTTTCATGATGAACAAATGTTGGCTATTTTTTCTTGTTTCTTCAGTGCTGAGGAGGAACGCTCGGCTGTGCAGAGACTGTGTGAGGAACTGAAGCAGAAACTGGCGGCAACAGAAGCTGAAAAGCAACGCGAGTATCTGAAGATGGCTGCAGAGGTTGATGACCTGAACAGAACCAAGAGCAATCTTGAGGAGCGGCTCATCGAGCTGATAAGGTGTGATCTATTTCCTGTGATCAAGACTGACCATTGAAACATGCAGAGGGATTTTAAGAATATATATTATTTTGACTTATTTGTTTTATTGTACTTAGCCCCTGTACTTACTGTAAATATTTTCTTAGGAGTTTAGGTTTGATTTGGTGTCTCCATGTTCATATTTGTCTGTGTAAATTGGGCTCTATTGTACATATTTAGTCCTTGCTGATCCAATCAGTGTGCTCATGTTAAACTTTCATCCCCACATGTGTCCTTAGTGACCAGATCTCACTCATCTGCTCTTCATGCGATCACTGTATTCATGCACACACAAGCACCGATCATAAATACATTTAGTGACCTGAAATGTTTCAGTATTCATAAAATAACACATTTTAAATGTGTTTGAATCACATTTATTAGTAGTACTGTGCTAGTCAGCTGTGAGAGTTCAGGAGGTGGCAACGGTGTGTCTGAATCCACAGCTTCACTTGTATTTAGCGCTGTCCGTTTGTAATTTGATCAGCCACGATGCACGTCAGCACAAGGTTTGAAGAGCTGCTCAGAGGAGCAGGATATGAGGAAAAGGCTTTTTTTATTTTAAAACAACTAGAGAAATTGCATTTTCTGTGAATATGCAGTGTGAATGCTTATTGTTGGAAAATATGAAATTAGCTTAAAAAATGCTGAAATGAAAAAAACAAGCCTAAATTAGCAGAAGAAAACAGAAAGAATAAATTTGCTGAATTAGGTTTAAATAAGTGGAAATGAGCACAAAAATTAGGAAATCAGCTAAAAAAGCTAAAATTACCAAAAAAAACATCTAAAAAGTAGCTGAAAAGGCATAGAGAAGCTTAATCTATGAATGAAGTGGAAAGAGCTAAAATGAGTTTTTTTTTTAAAATGTGGAATTAGCCAAAAAAGCTAAAATTTGCATAAAACAGCTACAGGTAAATAGTGGCTGAAATAGATGAAAATGCTGAAAAAGCTAAAAGGAGCATAACAAGCTGAAATTAGCTGAAATAATTAAATTAGGCTAAAAGTAACATAAATTTCCAACAAAAACTTGGATTTATTTGAAAACAGCTGAAATTAGCAAAAAAAAATGTATTAAAAGGTAGAACAAGCTTATCGGTAAATTAGCAGAAGAAAACAGAACGCGTTTGCCCACTTAGGCTGAAAGAAGCAGAAATGAGCACAAAAAGTAGAAATTATCTGAAAAAAAGCTGAAATGAACATAAAAACAGATGAAAAGTAGCTAAAAAAAAAAGCAGAAAGGTTGAATTTACAAGAACGTTGCGAGAGCACATTTTTGGTGAATTAGGCTGAAAAATGTTTGAGTGCAAAACGTAATTAGCTGAAAAAGCTTAAATTAGTATAAAAACAGCTGGCTGAAATAGTAGAAGAAGCTGAAACTTGCAGAAATAAGCTGAAAGTAGCACAACAAGCTAAAATGAGCAGAAATAAGTTAGAAGAAGCACAAAAATGTTGTAGTTAAAAAGAAAGGATCACAAAACAGCTGAAAAACAGCTTAAATGAGTTGAAAATGCTGAAACAAAGTTTGAATTTGCACAAGGAGGCTGAAAGAAGCTGAAGCAGAACAAAATGTGAAAGGAGCAGTAAAAGGCTGTAAACAGATCTAAAGATTTGAAGGATGTGAAATGAGCTCAATTCATTTTCTATGAGGAAAAAAATGGCAGAAAAGACTAAATATTTCAAAAAGCTAAAGTTGTACCAATACCAAAAGTTGAAGCAGGATTGTTCTGAAAGAGCTGAACGTTTTGATATGATTTGTTGAAATAACTTAAACTGCAGGACAAGAATCGTACTGAAAAACATACAGAAGAAAAATGGATCACAACAGTGTGAATGCTTCATAAACGTTCACACAATTACTGAGGCTGGCTGTGAAGAGTCGGAGCTGACGTGAGGTGCAGAAGCACAGCCAAAATCATCTTTCTTTGATTCTTTTTCCCCTTCAAGTTCAGACACGCTGTTGTCACTCCTAAAGCTCTCAAGCACTCGGTCAGATGACACAGTAAATTCAATCAACTCCTGTGCCATGTACATGCTCAGTTTCAGCCTTTTACAATATTTTATAATGCAGCAAATGCTTTTGTTTCTCGATTGCAACATTTTGGGATAGAAGTACATTATTTTCAGCCTTTTTGTGTAAAATGACGTTCATGTTGTTTGTCATTCGGCCGCTCCCTTTTCCACAAGTGAACAAACTCACATGAAAAATTAAAGCATCTTTAAAAACACACCTTTATATTTAACAGAGCTTACGCTCTAATTTATTATATCCAAATAAAACACATGTACCAAGAAAGTTCAGGATGACACATGAATTTAGTGTAATTTCTTTATTTTTTCATGAATTGTATCAGGGACAAAGATGCTCTGTGGCAGAAGTCTGATGCTCTGGAGTTTGAGCAGAAATTACGAGCTGAGGAGCGCTGGTGGTTGGTGGATAAGGAGGCCATTCACTGCCTCGACTGCCAGGGACAGTTCACCTGGTTTCTGCGCAGACATCACTGCAGGTCAGCTGTCTCCACTCAAGTCTTCATCAGCGCCGATTTTCAAGCTGCACACTTTCATATAATGCATGTTAGAAATAAGATATTTGATTTGTTGAAGAAAAAAAAACAATTGTCTATTCTTTATGTTCTAGAATTTGTGGCCGCATCTTCTGCTACAACTGCAGCAACAACTTTGTTATGACTAAGCACAGTGGGAAGAAGGAGCGCTGCTGCAGGGACTGCTACACGCAGCACAGTACAGTGGTGAAGAGGTTCACACAGGCAGAGCTGAGTGCTTCAGAAGTGTTGTCCCCTCCGCCTGAAGCTGCACATCCTCAACCTCCTCCTGAGCCCGCTCCCTATAATCCCACTCCCAGAGTAGCAGGTGAGAGGCATGTTTACAAAAAATGAATAAGTCCTCCTTTTAGTCAGTATCACAACTGTATTAAATCTGACGCAACATTTTCCTGGTGTAGTTCATTGTTCCTCATCGTCATTGTACGCAAACTAGAATTATGTGGGCAGAATTGAAAAGACTGGAATCCTTAGTTGTAGAATTCCCATTCTTTACACAAATGGGAATAAAATAGCATTTGAACTAGAGGAAAGGATTTTCATTGATTCTTTTACTTTCTAAAAGGGCTCAAGTTAGGAACAAGCCCATTATGACCCTGCCATTTGAATTGTAGAGACCAATGCGAACACCAGAAAGATCTCTGTGCACCCAGGTGGGAAAAGGATAAACACACTTGGTTCTCAGTCAACATGCAAACGTTAAACAACAAACGGCTTCAAATTGTCAGCTATAATATTGAAGGCTTCTCTGCACCTGAAGCAGAACAGTTAGCCTCTCTCCAACTGGACATCCTTTGTATACAGGAAACACATACAGTGGTGCTTGAAAGTTTCTGAGCCCTTTATAATTTTCTATATTTCTGCATAAATATGACCTGAAACATCATCAGATTTTCACACGAGTCCTAAAAGTAGATAAAGAGAACCCAATTAAACTAATGAGAAAAAAACATTATACTCATCATTTATTTTTATTGAGGAAAATGATCCAATATTACATATTGGTGAGTTGCACAAGTATGTGAACCTTTCTGGTGTGAACCAAACTCTTTAGAAATGGTTTTGTAACCTTTTCCAGCCTGATGAGCATCAACAACTCTTTTTCTGAGGTCCTCAGAAATCTCCTTTGTTCCTGCCATGATCCACTTCCACAAACATGTTGTGAAGATCAGACTTTGTTCTTTAAATCAAACAGTGTCCACTCACACCTGATCATCATCCCATTGATTGAAAACACTTGACTCTAATTTTACCTTCAAATTAAATGCTAATCTTGGAGGTTCACATACTTTTACCACTCACAAATATGTAAGATTGGATAATTGTTCTCAATAAATAAATGACCAAGTATAATATTTTTGTCTCATTTGTTTAACTGGGTTCTCTTTATCTACTTTTAGGCCCTTTGTAAAAATCTGATGATGTTTTAGGCCAAATTTATGCAGAAATATAGAAAATTGTAAAGGATTCACAAAATTTTAAGCACCGCTGTAGATCAAGTGAAAATCCTCCTTACATCCATGGGATGCACTTCATGATCTCGACACCAAGCAGAGCACGTGGAAGTGCCATGTTTGTTGTAAAACCCGTTTGCTGTGCTGAAAATTGAGGTAATTCCATCTGGCAACCTGAAGCTATTCAAAATTGAAACAGAGACCATTGTAATACCATCTGTCTGTAAACCTCCCAACAATCTGCTTTGTTGGCCAGACCTCCTTGACATTTCACATAAGACTCACATAGCCATAGGAGACCTAAACAGCCATAACTCTAAAATGGAATATAATGATGATGATAACAATGACGAGGAGGTAATAATGTGGAACTTAACAACAATCTAACATTTGTGTAAGAAAGTAAAGACGCACCTACTTGTCAAAGTTTCAGATAGTGTCAAGGCTATTACCCAGATCTAGCCTTTGTCATATCCACCAAACATGGACTGTTCCATCAGAGAGTCCTCAACCCTATCCCCAAATCACCACACTGATCTGTGGTGATAAGTCAGCCTGTTACCAAACCCATCAACTTCTGTTACCTACCCAGATTTAATGTCAGGAAAGCTGATTGGTCCACTTTCTCAAACACCCATGAGGAAGCAATTACAACTATCAGGCCATCACCTGATCTCTTTGATGATTGGGTATGCATCTTGTGAAAAATAGCACAACAATATCCTAAGAGGTTGCAAAACAAACTACATAGCAGGACAAACAAACAACCAACTTGCCTTTGATTACACAAGAAGATTCCTGTATGCAGACGACATATGCCTTGCTACTCAAACTAGATACTTGAAATCATTGAGCAAAGGCTCACAGTTGAATTAGAAGAAATGGGACCGTATTACAAGCAGAGCTCCCTCAATGCCAATCCTGGGATAACAAAAGTATGTGCATTCTATCTCAAAAACTACCGGTATGCAGCAAATACACAAGTAAACATACAGTAGTATGGAATGGGAGGGACCTTGAACATGAGGACTACCGTACCTATGTATGCATTACCTTAGACTGAACACATACTTACTGCCAACATATAGAAGAAGCACTTAAAAGACAACTAACTTCTGGACTATCATTCCTAGCCAAAGAGCTGCTTTAGTTTGTGCTATTCCTATATTACTACATTGTGCTCTGAAATGGACAAGAACCAGTGATGGAAAGACCCACACCAACTTGGTAAAATGGGTCTTGCTGGAATTGCAGCCTGTGAATGCCGTCATCAAATCCAAGTCTACAACATAGACCATCCTTTAACTACCTGCACCTTAAGGCCAGTACATATACCGGTACATGTATACATGTCTACACCTCCAGATGTAGGAAGAGGGCCACCTGTATCATGAAGGACCTCACTCACCCAGCACACACACTTTTTGCCACGCTTCCCTCAGGAAGGAGGTTGAGGAGCATTAAGTGTAGAACCACTAGACTGAGGAACAGCTTCTACCCTGAGGCTGTTAGACTCATGAATCTAACCAGAATAATCACTGTGAAAAAAATCACATTATGTTGCTGCTGATCTGTTTCATGTTGATGTGTTCATGCGTGCTCATCTGCTCACACAGACTCATGTTCGTGCTGCTGTTCGGTGTATTGCGTTTATTGTTTTTATGCTATTAGTGCTTAGCGTATTTTTAGATGATGTTTTTCTTAGTTTTAGTCTTAGTTAATATCTTAGATCTTATTACTGTTTTTCTTTTACATTTTATTGTTGGATGTAACTGGGACCCTGTGTACATAATTTCATTCCACCACCTGTACCACATGTGGTGCAAATGACAATAAAGAATATCTGTATATTAGCTGGTGTCAGGTCAATTTTCTGAATGGATATATGAAAGGAAAATCTCAGCAAAATGTAGTTTTCTAGTAGTACACATTTGTAAATTTAAGAATAATGTTACTGCACGTTTGACCATGTGACTTTACAGTGAAAAGTTTCTGTTCAGGTACATTTTTAATGGTGTTTCTGTATTGGTTTAAAATATTTTATTAGATTTCCTGTATTCAGTTACCAACTTGTTGAAAAGCTGCCTGTACAATATGTTTTTATTTTACATGCTAAATGTTTTAGCTTTAGTGATTCTTTTGTTTGGTTTCAGACCCCAACAACAAATCTGATGATGGAGGCTATGACATCATCACAGAGGAAGAGGTGAATGGCACTTATGACAGTGATACCAACTCTCAGACCACAGGAGGCTCTCTGGATGGAGAACAAGATCAACAACATCAAGGAACAAATGAAATGTGAGAGTAACATTTATATAAGATAAGATAAGATAAGATAAGATAAGATAAGATAAGATAAGATAAGATAAGATAAGATAGAACTTTATTGATCCTGCAGAAAATTGTTGTGCCAGAGTTTCAGTACAAAGGAACTTACACAAGGAATCACACAAGATACGTATATATAACAAAAGAGACAGCGAGAACACCAACATTTAAGTTCTAAAACAGGTCGGGTGCAGACAGAAACATTAAAATGTTTATTGTAGTGCAGGATTAATTTTATTGTCCTATATAGAAATCAATGGTGGGCACAGCTAAACAAAAAGTTAACTTTGCTAACCACCAATTAGCTAACAAAAAAAATTAACTTTGCTAATGTAAGCAGATTAAAAAAATTAGTGGAAACTAATGCTAAGCTCTAACATTTATCATAGATAAGCTCAAGATCTGCAAAGGATAATTTGCAGAAGTGTTTTTAAAAGTCATCTTACACAATGTGCCCACTCGCAGCAGCCCTCCAGATTTCTATAATGGTTACCATTTGACACCACTTTGAGGAAGTATCATTCCATCCATGGTGTAGCTTCTCGCATAATAATTTTCATACGAAATACCAATATATTCGCCTTTTGCTGCAATTGGTATTGTAGGGTAGACATGTGCCATGTGCACGTTGAAATATGGCTGTGCAAGACGAGTGCAAAACTTATTTAACATTTAGTAATTACTATAAAACATGCCAAAATGTTCTGATTCCTCATTAAACTGTACAGACACTGATCTGTGCACATATTCATTGTCCAATTTTTATTCATGGTGCTAAGTTATTTTAAAAGACAGACAGACAGGTGCAGTGACTCATGAGTCTTGATAAAATAAGTCATTTTACACTATTTGGCCACACCTAGATCCTTTTTAAAAACAAAGCTCTTATTATAGATTGTACTGTTTTGAATATGACAGAGGGACAGGAGATGTGACCCCTGATGAAGAGCACATGCCAACGTTTCAGGATTCAGAGATTAACCTTCTTAAATCAGGAGAAGTCACGTGAGTCTTAACTTTGATACAATTTATTATCTTTCCCTACGTAAATTAATGAGCGTCTAATGCAGTCTAATGTGTTAACCCTTGCAGGATGGCTGTCTCTCTCAGCACCGATGATATTTCTCAGTTTGGTGATGGTACCAAAGAGCTGTTCATCAGGTCCAGTTGTTACAGTGTCATTACTGTTACTGTGGCCGACTGTGGGCCAACTATCAGCTGGATGTTTTCCTCCGACCCCAGGAGTATCTCTTTTAGCGTGGTTTACCAGGAATCCAGTGACATTCAGCTGGAACAGTCAAAGGTAGAACCACTTTTTCTGAGCAGTTTATTTGTTCAATGCACAGAGAGCACTGTGTTGTGAAATTTAGCATCTGTTCTTTAATTTCACTTGAAGCATGTAGCCTAGTTTAAAGCATGTGAACATCTGAGCTTTTTCAAATCTGAGGTCTCATGTACAGCATATGAGGTCCCTGGTGTCCAGGGTAAGTTGTTGCAAAAGGTACCGGTACTTAAAAAAAGGCTGACTATAATGCTTTTCAATGGCTAAGGAGGTGAAGTGTGGAAACTTCGCACACGCTCATTCAAAAGCCGAAGTTATTTTCAGGGTGAAATTGTGTGCACCTCCTGCAGAGAGCTGGGTCATTTTGCTTGGTTGGTCAAAGATGATGGACTGATGGAAACTGCTGCAGGCTGACAGTGTGCAAATTCTGCACAAAAAATGTCAACGCTTTTAAATCATTCGTGCTCATTTTCACCTCAACCTCCCCATTGCTGATATTTAAAGTGGTGTATTTCTCTTTTTATTTGATTTGTTGTCAAAGGTACAAGATTCTTCAATAATTATTGAAATTATCATAGTTGTTTCTTTCTATACAACATCCTGTGATCTGTTAAAAAAACAAAAGTCCTTTAGATTGGTGTTTTTTTATATTTGCAATGTTTCAGTCTGTAGAAGAAAGAGGGTTTTTTTTAAACATCTGTCTCATTTGAGTTTCTGTTCTGCTCTCAGGTGCTGATTCCTCTGACTCGCTGCAATTCTCATAAAGAGACCATTCAGGGACAGCTGAAAGTGAGGCACCCCGGCCTCTACATGCTCATTTTTGACAACTCTTTTTCACGGTACAAAGCTCTTAATGTTCTACAATCCTTCTGGCCTTGTAAATAACAGATACAGCGTTGTCTTTTCCATCATTTCCTGTCATTAAATATATGTTGGCCTTCACACTGGCAGTCTGTGTATTTTAGCCCGTTCTGATCAAAATGTGTTTTCAACAGCTTCATCTCAAAGAAAGTCTTTTACCATCTGACCATGGAGAAGCCTGTAATCTACGATGGAAGTGATGGTCCTTGAACCTACCACAAGCTGTGGATCTGAATAAAGCTAAAGGGAAACTGATAAGATGACAATTCAGTGACATATTTGCAAATCAAGTATTAAAAATATGATGGGTGTTGATGTTACTTTATTCAGTGATGTTAGTTTTGTTTTTGAAGTATTTTGTTTTAAAGGTGGCCTAAGTAAATCGTAAAATAAACCAGTGGAAAGATGATTATGAATGGCACAGCTATGCAAGTTTTGACCATGTTTTTAAATATTTTCATTCATATTCATATATACTCTTGTGTTTCTGTAACGTTTGTCGTCACAGTTTTGATTTAGTCGTTATCTGATTTTAAAGATTAAGGAATGTTTATAAACTGCAGAAGACACTAGTAGATTCTATTTTTCAGCAAATATCTGTGGATACAGAACATTTTTAAGTTTTTCTTTTTCATATGTGTAATAAATGATTTGTGCAATCTTTTAAATCAAGTGGCTAAGAAAATCACAAGTGTGCACCAGTGGTTTATTTATAACTTTTTAAAATGTATATCTGAACCTTGTTTGTACTTTATCATGGGACAGGAACAAAGCGACTAATATTAGACCTGGACAAAAAAAAAAAAACCACAGTCGACAAACCTCAGAGCTTAGCTCACAGCTGTACGTTTCTGAGGTACAGTGGTGCTTGAATGTTTGTAAACCCTTGAGAATTTTCTATATTTCTGCTGTCAAGTATTATTTGCACTCACCATGCGCCATAATTTTTACTGCTCTTTTACACTTCTTGTGAATGAGATTAAAATGTTCCACGATCCTTACTCTATGCAATAATCAGTCTTCATGTGACCGGTCAGTAAAGGGACAGCAAGAGATAATTCTATTATCCTCAAGGTCTGATTGATGTGATTACAGTGATGTCTTCCCTTGAGAGTTGCTGGCCTCCCAGATTGCTCCCTCTGACTGCAGCTGGGTTCTGATAAAGCTGGACAGGGCGGGGAGGTGCTGGGGGCTGTATGTCTCTACAAAAATGTTTTTTTGTCTGTTCAGGACGTCAGAACGGGTCAGAACCTCAGACCGGTGAAGGTATTGATATGTTGTACTTGTAAATGCATTGATCTTCTGTGATTGCTGGCTGTTCTCCAAAGCTTTGTAATAAATCTGTTGAAGTCTGCACTCAAATGTTTTGGGGATCTCTTTTTTTCCCTTGACAGTTTTGGCGCTGCGAGCAGGGTCCCTCGGGTGGCTGTCCAGACCCCAAGTCAGATGTCTGATCAGCCTAGAATGGAAACCTCCATCTCTCAACCTTCACTGTATTGCAGAGAGACGAGTGGCTGGCTGCAAGAGTTTGTGATCGTCACCACTGGGAACCAGCGGACTTTGATTCCAAACTGACCTGCTGAGGTTTCAAACAAGGAATGCGTATTAATTAAGGGGTTCAGACGGTGCTGTTTGGTTCAGAAAATCAGTACCGAAGCCAACAGACTGACTGGATGAAGGATTCCATGTCAGAAGAGTTAACTTTCTGAAACACTGGAGATACTGGCTTGGTCTGAAGAGTCCGAGGGGGACCTTCGGTCTGACAGGATTAAATTCCTGGGCAGAACTGCCTTGACTGTTGTGAAAACAACAGAATGTTGAGTAAGACCTTGAAGTTGTCAGTCCCCCAAAGTCCAACAGTCTAGGATGCAGTCCAGCGGCGTTACATTGAACTTGCCCTTTTGCTTTACCGATTGTGGCGGAAACAATGGACATGCCAGCTGTCGTGGCAGGAAAAGAAATAAGGGAAAGATTACGACAGAAATTTTGCCTTAACCACTTGTGGCGAACAGAGCGGACTCGCACTGAGATGTCCACATGAGTAAAGATATACATCCCATCATAGATATATCTGTCCTTCTTGGTTTCTTTCCTTGACACCAAACCAACCCATCACTTTTCCCAGCCCCTTGCCGAGGCAAAGATGGGGTAGAGGTAGGGCAGCCGACTGGGGACCAGAAAGTCGGGGTTCGACTCCAAGCCATTCCCACATGTGGTGTCTCTGAGCAAGACACCCAATCCCCAATTGCTCCCCAGGCACTTACATAGCTGCCCACTGCTCCACCTGGGTGTATCTCACGTGTGATGGGTTAAATGCAGAGAACTAATTTCACCATTGTATGGAAACATACAATGATGACAATCTCAGACTTCTCCCTCATCCCCTCTGCCTTCTTCACCAACATGTCCACTCAGGTCTGCTCTGATCACACTCCTTCCTCCCTGGGAATACTCTCTACCACTTCATCCAGATCCTTCCAAAATGTATCTTTTTCCTCGACATCACATCCAACCTGTGGAGCAAAAACACTGCCAAAGTTTAGCATCAGACCTTCTACTTCTGCCTTCAAACACATCCCCCTATCGGCACTCTTTTCACCTCTACTACAGTCTTTGCCAACTCCTCCTTCAGGACCACCTCTACTCCATTTCTCTTTCTATCCACACCATGGTAAAACAGTTTAAATCCTGCTCCAATACTGTGAGCCTTACTGTCCTTCCACTTGGCCTCTTGGACACATAAACCATCTACCTTCCTTCTCTGCATCATGTCAGCCAGCTCTCTACCTTTGCCTGTCATTGTCCCCACATTTAGATTTGCAACCATCAGTCCTACAATCTTGACTTTCCTCTTCTCCCTCTGTCTACTGACATGTTTCCCTCCTCGTGGTCTTCAACTAATAGTAGTACAATTTCCAGTGCCACCATGATGGTCAACAGCACCGGTGGCAGTTGTTGTTAACCCGGATCTTGACCAATCCAGTATGGTGTCGCTTTGATGAACTCAAATTATATCCTCATGCATGATCAATAATCCAGGTAGAAAAATCTAAAAGAGTTAAGTCAGGTCCTGTGGATGTTCAAAAAAAACAAACAAAAAAAATGTAGAAACGTTTCGTCTTTCACCCGAAAGACTTCTTCAGTCTCGAACAACTCGAATTATAGTTTTGGCAAAAAAGTGTTTTACGTTGGATGCCTTTCCTGACAAACCTTCACCATTTACCCAGGCTTGGGACCAGCACAAGAGATACACTGGCTTGCGCTCCCTAGTGACTGTTTTTCAAATAAGGCTTTAAAGCAAAAAATACAAAAGCCAGCAATAGAACAACATAGGAAACATTTGAGCCATTACCATTTGAAAGAGTTCCAGAGGTGGGATGCTGAGAAACCGAATGCTCTTGAGTCCATCGTGATCAGACGAGCAGGTGGTTGGGTGAATCGGGTGGAGGAGGACCTGAGAGTGCAGTTGGGTGTGTTATTGAGTTCTGTGGGATACAGAGGGGTGAGCTTGTTGAGGGCTTTGAAGGGGATAATGCAATATTGAACTGGGAACTAAGTTATACATGTTCATGATGCACGATCATTCTCTGAATATTTCGTGAAAATTCAGCCCCACAAACACACACTCACTTTCACACACGATATGTTGCTGCACCACCTTCACCTCTCAGCAGAGGACAAAAATAAAGAGACACCCACACTGAAGGAGTCACGCATCAGAAAATCTGCATCAGAACATGAACTCTGGTTGGTGGAGAGGGAACACACCATACAAGACTTTTTTTTTACATTATCAGTTTTTACTCATCTGCAGCTGTTTGTTATTCTAAAATAAGCAGAAGATTTTTTTTTTTTAATCTCCGCTGCAGTCAGAGACAACCCCTGTCAGGAAGAAGAGACGGGCGGGCCCAGGAGACTGCTACAGGCGTCACACTTTTCTAGGCCAACTCAGCTTCCTGACGAGGCGGGAGAGAAACTAGTTCCACTGAAATCCAGAAACTGAGGCCTCCACAAGCAGATGTTCTGGGTTTATTTTTAATTTACTGATGCATTTGTCATTAAATAAAGCATCCCTTGAAGGAAAGCATGTGGCCTGCCACCATTCATCCTGCCACCATTCACAGCAGTTTTAGACGAAGACTGTAGCTGTTCCACACCAAAATTTAGCTTAATATCTGTAAAACTGACAGTTATAACCATTTTATGTTGGCAAACATGGATTAACAGTGGCAGCTATATTAACTGGATTAACTCCAAAAGTTATTCAGTTGTAGATGTGCATCTGATGGTTGCTTTCGGATTGGTTCATTAAAATCCACCCAGTAGTCTGTGAGAAATTTTGCTAACAGACAAGTTTAACTGCAAGAGTTGATGCTAACACTTTAAGTAAAGAGGGTGTGCAACGAGAAGCACTTGAGATGTGTCTGATTCTGCAACAACTACACTAAAGTTGAGCACAATATCTGTAAAGTTGACTGAATGATGGCCATTTTCTTGTTTGAGGTGTCAGATTATTGGACATGAGTCACCCCAACTGTGGACTGTGGTTTTAGCTCCGGACAGTAAAACTTGACTGACTTTGTACTCCTGCAGGCCACACAGTTAATATCTTTGTACTGGAAGAAAATGGATGTACCCTCAAATCATATGTGGATGAAGGAGATGACATTGTGTATATTACTGGAACAACTTACTTATATTAGACGTAAAGGATTATATTTTCAAGAAATACAATATTTTCATTCAACCTTTATTTAGACAGGTTAATCCCATTGAGCCTCGAGGGCTCATTTAAATGAGAGACCGGGATTATGATGTGTAATGATAATTTAATTGCATTAAGGTACTATCACTTGCTTGTTCTGTAATTTAAAAATTCTATAAAGATATTGTTTAAAAGAAGAAAACAGTCCCCTCGGACCAAAGTAATCCTGTGTTCTTGTGGCGTTATTGATTCAGAGCTATATGTCGTGAGCTGTGCAGGGTCAGGCCAGCAGTGTTTGCAGAGACAGTGTTGTTGTGTTTTTCATCACAGAGTCTAAAGGCAGGCGTGGAACTGGCGTCTCTTACAATGAAAAGAAGCCGTTTCTGCATCTTATCTCAATAAAAAAAATACAGAGCTTCAAAACGCGTTTGAATAAACATGAAATAAAGGTAACAACTGGTGTTTAAATATTTCCTATAAAAATATAGTTGCTATAACATGAGATGGAATGTTTATAATAAATTGTTGACATTTGTTTTTACATGTTAGGACAAAGAAAATGATCAAAACTTTATGACGAGGGTAAAACTTTATTTTATTTTTTTTATTTAATCACCCCTTTATATTGTTTAAACACAGACATACATTCAAGTTCAAGTATGTGGTACATGTGGTGGAACAAAACTGTGAATTCAAGGTCCCAGTTACATCCAACAATAGCAAAAATACAACGTGTAAAGGGAAACAGTATATAAGGATCTAAGATATGTAGATCTTGTAGATATGTAGATCTAAGATATGTAGATCTAAGATATGTAGACCTTGTAGATATGTAGATCTAAGATATGTAGATCTAAGATATGTAGATCTTGTAGATATGTAGATCTTGTAGATATGTAGATCTAAGATATGTAGGCCTAGCTGCCAATTAGCTTTATGTTGATGGGAAATTAGAAATTTAAATATCCAACTTTGGAATATTAATGGATTTACTGGCATTTTAATAAAATGTTACTTGTGTCTATATGTGTGTGATTGTATGTTTGTTCCATAAACAAAATACTGTATATCTGTACCTGAATGTCGAGCCACATGTCATGTTTGACCAAAATAGCATCACCCTTCCTCCACCTAAGAACATCTCAGTCTACAACCCTGGCATGAAAGGCAGCGGACGATTTTCATGCCTTGAAGAAATTATGACTATTTTATTCAGTGTTATGTACCGAGGTTCTTATTGTTCTGTGTGAACTGTGCAGTGTTAGATCGGCTGTGTTTGTGCAGATGGTGTTTTCCACCAGAGTGTGGTGGAAGGAGCGGGCCGTTCTGTTTGGTGCTCCTATTTCAGAACACAGTTCTTTCTGTGCATTATTCAGTACTGTTATTACACCCTTCAGGGATATTTGACTAAATGTCTCCTCATGAGCCCTCCATCCTTTGTTTCAGGACTTCATCTTGTCTGTACACCTGCCCATTAAGTGGCAACCTCTGAGGGGAAGCTGTATAATCATACATAATGGATGAACGGCAGGCCTGCTGGAAAAAAAGTGTCGGAACAGTATGTGCTGCTCGTGCTCAGCTTTAATCTCCTCTCTGCCTCAGTGCTTCGACATCAGGTGGTGTTTTGAATCAGCGTGGCACTTTCTCTATTCTCTGTATTTCAGCTGATCCTTCAGGGTTTCGAACAAGCCAAATAAAACAGGATGACGTGTGGAGGAGTGGGAGCAGACAGGCCCCTTCCTTCCACCCATCTCGGCGTATGGCCACAGTCAGACATTAATAATTGGGGCCTGCCTGAAGGCAGCCACATGTTATCTGCTGCTGTAATCTGGAACACCTCACAAAAAGACCAGAAGCTGTCCACGTTGACCTCTTTATGGGATTAACTGATAAATTCAATAGAAAAATCTGAGCAAACATGTTCCTTTTTTTTTTTTTTTTTTAGTATTTTACCTAGTTTTGTATGGCATCTTGATTTGATTTTGTTTTATAACACTGCTTATTATTTTTACTTTATTGGCATTCTGTTGTCGTTTATTGTTGTGTGCACCTTATCTGTGGTGTTGTCTAAAGCAGGTCTCTCTTGAAAATGAGTTGTGACTCAATGAGACTAACCTGGATAATTAAATGTTAAATGAAGTTGAAAAGTGTCTCACTCTTCCTTCAGCTTTAATGCGGACCGAACCGCAATGTGTACCCTCACAAATTTTATGTCAAGACGACCGGCTTGGCACCGTGATGTGCGCTATTACTTATAGCATTTTAAGTTGCCATGGTGACGTAATTTGCAAAAGAAAGATGCCATTCTTCTAGTTGAAAAAGTCTGGAGAACTCTTAACGGCTGGTGGTCAGTATATGGTTTTGTAATCCTGAGGGTGCAGGTTCAAGTTCAGGTTGCATCAGGAAGGGCATCCGGAGTAAAACAAGTGCCAAATCTTTAATGCGAGTTTGCTCGCATGTGACGCCCCCGAAGAAGGGAGCACCTGAAGCAAACTTACTTTATTAAGATGTTTTCCTCCACCTTTTATATTTGTAGGATACACAAGCCACCAGACATTTTAATGTCACAATTTTGAGAGTAAACAGGATAATCACTGTGAAAAAAAAAATCACATCATGCTGCTGATTTATTTCATGCTGCTGTGTTCATTTGAACTCATCTGCTCACACAGACTCATGTTCGTGCTGCTGCTGTTCAGTGTATTGTTTTTAATACTAGTTGTGCTTAATGTATTTTTAGTTTAACGTTTTTCTTAGTTCATATCTTAGAACTTATTACTGTTTTTTTTCTTTTACATTTTATATGTTTGTTGGATGTAACTGGGACCCTGTGTTACACAATTTTGTTCCACCACATGTACCACTTGTGGTGCGTATGACAAATACAAAAACTTTGACTTTTTGACTTGGAATAAAAAACTGTGGCTCGAATCTTCTTCCATACACAGCAGCCTCTGTATATTAATCATTTCATCACGTGGTCACAAACAGAAGTTTAATAAAGCTTTAAAGCAATAAAAATAAAAAATAAAACAGCAACAGAACATAGAACATAGAACATTTGAGCCATTTCTGTTTGAAAAAGAACATGAAAAGCATAAAAAGAGCCGACACTCAGTGAGCTGGACCTCCATGAAACAGCAGAGGTTGGACTGAGGTGCCCCCCCACCCACCCACCCCCTCACACACGCACACCCTCACAGCAGCAGCAGTCATGGCTCGTGTTCCTGCAGCTCACCTATTCCCGGATTATTTTATTCTGTGTTTCCCCCCACGGTCAGCTCTGGGGGTGCTGTCTGATGTGGACTGAGCACCGATCCATCCACAGCTGCAGGCAGATGTTCTGCGCCTGCCATGGCAAAGGCTCTGTTTCCATGGGGGGTCCTCAGAAAGCCTCTGTACGTCCAGGTAAGAATAATGTTGGGGGGGGAGGGGGGG